TGATCCTGATGGCCATCCACGCGGCACTGTCTATCAGACCAACGCCATTGGCGGGCTGGAGATGGCGTTGTGGTGGATTTCATGGGTGGCTTCGCTCTCTCTCGCTGACCCTTGCAGGCGGTCGGCTGCGTGAATCTGCGAATATGCCGCCGGATGAGATAGACGTGTTTTGAGAGACAGAAATTGGCAATCTGACGGGCAGATCGCGAAAGCCGTTATGTCGGTTCTGAGTCGGCAGCAGCTTCAGATGAGCGCACTGACGCTGCTGCGTCGTGCCGGTGCCGTGTTTAGCTTGTTACTTTGTCTCCTATGTCCCCAAGGGAGTTGGCATTCTGCTCGACCAAGACGTAGACCGAGTGGGCATGACCGAGTCGTCTGCAGAGACTGCCGACAAGCGGCGCATCACGCAGTCGCTGTCTGAGCATGGCTCGCACGGCCAGCGAGCAGTGTAAGCGACGTCGGGAGCTAGAGTAGATTCGCGATTGTGGTGTATACCATCCTGAAGCCGAAGTAGCATCCATGTTCGGGTACACATGTCTCCTAGACGAGATGGAACTCCTTCCGAGCTCTCCGTCCAGCCGACTGCCAGCCAAAGAAATTCTCGCCCGCAGCCGGCTCCGCACACTCTCCCCAACCAAATCGCGACGTGTCGATAACTGCGTGGGCGTTCCCGCGCCCGCAATCTCAAACGACACACATTCCCATCGCAAATCACATCTGGCATGGACGGCCCAGGCACAAGTCTAGACAGCGCCTAACCGCCGCCACCTCGCGGCGAACCACGCCGGAGATTTACCACAGCAGCTCCTAGGCCTCTGCGCGGTCTGCCCTCGTACCTTCACCGCAGAGTGGTCGCCGATCGGTATCCTGCCACGACTCTCCGGCTTTGCGCCTGGAGACGTCTCCCTCTACGCCGCCATGCCAGCGCTCCTGGTCGACACGACGACGCGTCCAGTCTCGTCCAGCGACGCCTCGACCGCCTCGGAGCACTCTGGCAACCGCTCCAAGTCGCCCACTCCTGACCGCCCGCCCGTGTCACCTCTCACGCCCACAGCTTCTGCTGCCCAGCTAGCTCCTGTGGAGCGCACCGAACCCCGACCCCGCCCTGCCCCTCCGCCCACTGCCACCTTCAGACCGCAGCCGCCCTCTGTCGCCATATCCGAGACAGAGAACCCGGATGCCATCGCCCTGCGATCCGCCATATCGCTCCTGCAGCTGCAGCGCGAAAAGAGCAGGCGCGACCTCAAGGCCCTCGAAGAGCTCAAGGCAGCCGCTGTGTCTGACCCGCAAGCCTTCGTCAAGTCGCTGCAGGAACAGAGAGCCCAGGCCTCCCATTCCTACCAGGACATACTCACCCCAACGCTGTCGGGTCTGGCCGACTCGTCACGTAGCAATGACGAAGACACCAATAGCGCAGACATGCGCAAGGACTCAACGCATATGGACGCGAAGCCAGACCCACCCAAGTTCCCCGCGATACCACAGCCTCAGAACATCGTGCGATGCCCGCCCATCAATTGGGAAAAGTACCACATAGTCGGAGAACCACTGGACAAGATCCATGAAGAGCAGAAGAAGTGGCCAGCATCTGCCGAGCCTCCGCGCACAAAGTCTGGCCAACGAGCACCCCCGCACTCAGTGACGGCCCCATACTCTCCCTTCACGGATGGCATCAGCGCTGCTTCATCGTCGGCAGCCCAACCGGCAAACCACTCCAAGAAGACGCCGTCATGAGGCTGGGTAGCACCGAGCCAAGTGACTTCGACTCAACACCAAAGCGCAACGCGCAACATCACATTACTACCACAACCGCTTATAACGATCCCACTCAAAAGTCTGAGAGCACAGGCTGCTCCGCTCACGAATGTAATGTACTTACGGTCATCATGATAGACGATGCCTCATGAATAGAAGACGGGAGCATAGCGACAGACCCGAATACAAACGATTTAGACAGTCAAGTCTTAGGTCTACCATGGTGCGTCTGCTCACGTAAATGTGCTTCTGTTGAATCCAGTTTCTATTTGTGTCACCCGTAGTCTTGTCGATTCGTACTCGCACGCGCACATTGCGGCTGTGCACCCCACATCCACGTGGCTGACACATTTGCAAGCGCTGCACTCTTGCCCACACCTTTGCAGTCAGTACAGGACGAATCATTTCGATACTTTTTTCTTTTTCAGAGCCTTCCCTTGTCGACCAACCAAAAAAATTAGGCATTATTATGCTGCAGTCGTACCTGCTTGACCCCTGCGCGAGTGCTTCGCTTAGCGCTACGTTGCGTCATAGTTCCAGGGTCTGAACAACATACGCCCAGCAACACGTCAACATTGTGGTCAGTGTGCTGAATAGGCCCTGATTCGTATTTCCAAGACGTTGATCTCGAGGCTGAGGCCCTGTTGGTCAGGTTTGCTATTCGCTTGTTGCCATGGCTGGGCCCTAGTAAGTGACGTGTGGGTCTTTTGCGCGGTCGTCGCATTGCAAGTTTGTATCTGCGCGTCACGTATAAGTGGTTGACTCTTTCTTTATCGTCTTTGACATAACTCACCATCCATCGCTTCCTGTCTTTTGTCTGCGTTTTAGCCCTTCGTTGCTCTTTGAATACAACGCCATTCACTAGTAGCATCTAAAACGATCGCGACCGTCCACACATCTACACCACAATCGCAAAGTCAATAACACCACGACGATGCGGTTTATCGCTATACTACCGGTGCTCTGCTGTACCGCCGCCCTCATACTATCATTCCTATGCCTATTCGCGGGTCACAAGAAGGGTTTCATGGAAGACTACTCTCTCCTCACACTTAACACTTCTGCTGTTGGGCAAAACCTCATCTCCTCTGCGACATCAGATTCCGATTCCACACTCTCGTCGATTATAAACCTCATCCCTGATTCCATCACCGATAGCGTCACAAACGAAATCAATGAACAGATTGATGAGCTCCGCGAGCGCATTGGTGTCGAAGACTGGTACTCGGCACACATGTTGAATTACTGTCAAGGACAGTATGAGCCTGGAGAAGTGGCAAATGCAACACTGAGTCAGAGCGACATCAGCAAGAACGTTACCGAGTGCGCGAAGAGCAGGGCTACCTACAAGTTCGACCCTACCCAGATCATCCAGGATGCGCTCAACAGGACGGGTGTAGACATTACCCTACAAGACCTGCAATGGCCAGATGATATTCAAACGGGAATCGACACACTCAATGCGCTCATGGCGGCCATGTTCGTTCTCTACGTCATCGCAATCTGCCTTATCTTTATCACGCTCATTACTAGCGTTCTTGGAATCTTCATCGGAAATGGAAGACTCACTCCATGTATCAACTTCCTTCTCGCCACACTTGCGTTCCTGGCCATTGGACTGGCGAGCGCGCTTGTCACTGCCGTTATGATCAAGGTAAGTTTTGATTGTACAACGCGCATGTGAGACATGAACTAATTTTCTACCAGGGTACCGATATTGTCAATGATAAGGGCGGTGAGATAGGTCTCAATGCAAAGTACGGCGGCAAGTTTCTTGCCCTTACTTGGGCTGCTACCGCGCTTATGCTTATCGCCCTCCTTGGCTGGATTGCGAGCTTCTGCATCGGCGGAAAAGACCGTGAGTCGCGCCGTGCTCGTAAGCCCTACAAGGTGTAGAGGAAGTGAAGTTCAAAGTTGAAGATTGTATTATGCGCTCCTGAACCTATCAAATTGGCTGTGTCGCGATGGGGCGATACTTGGAGTACAGCGGTTTCCTTTTCTTCTCACGACCCCCACGAACGAGCTCATGTCTTTCCTTAAATTTGTCATATACCCCCAGATACCAGAATGTGTTTCATAAGGATCTAGCGATGAAGAAGATTGTATACCCATAGTTTGTTTGAATCAACGTACTCAATACAGGACATCAACTTTTCATGCTCGTGCACCTCGTCTTATCTCCTATGAAACACCAGCCTGATCAAATAATTCCTAGAAAGGCCACAGACGACTCCATCACTCCTTCCTGCCTATACCATCGATACTGAGTGAAAAGCACTTCGTCTTGTGCAATATTTGTGAGAAGTACTTTTGTTCATCGTCAGTTAAGAGCGACAGAGGGATTTTCAGTAAAGGACATAATATCCTGCAGCACATGGACTCTTCACCGTCTGTCGTCCACGACAAGCCGTGCTCATCCGCCTCCAGACACGCCTCCGCCCTGTCCATAGGGGGTGTGCAGCACGTACTCGACACCTCACCATGCCCCCGCACTGTTCAACGAATACCGCCCACAGATACAAAGGATGGTGCCGTGGCGACCTGTCCAACCGCGTCGTTGCCAAAGTATCCGCGGCACACTAGCTAGCCCCGGATAGTTATCGTTATGATCGTGCTGCGTGAGTAATTCTCTCTCACCGTCTCACTTAGATAGCATACGTCGTTCTACATATCGCCTTTTTTTTCCGGTTATCACTGACAATAAGGATGAAGATACCACTACGGTCCAGAATTCGACTACAACGGCTACCGCGATGGTTGGGGTGTACGAGAACATATACATATACATATACGTATGTCGGCTCGGGAAGACAGGTCAGAAGGTACGATGCTGAGCCCGACGAAGATGATTATTATTACGGCAGCTGACGGGATACGAGGAGATGGAGAGATAGATTTCGGTGTTGGTAGAATACCTTTTTCGATAAGCACAAGCAATTAGTCAGAGAGACGCAAATGTGGTATGGAAACTTTCGTTTGTATTAAACGGGTATCTAAATTCGTCACCTTCATCAAGCGTGCTTGGTTTCCGACCAACACAACGCATGTTCCCGCACTGTTTGAACCAAACCAGATTTTCCATCATGCACCTTCGCGCTAGGTCACTTATGAGTGGTCTGTAGAGACGATCTGTCCGCCTCTGCAATGATGGGATAGTGCTGGGCGGTCCCCGATTTGGCAACATATCCAAGTGTTGAGCAAATCGCGTACTTGTGTTCCTGCTACTCATCGCTGGCGGATGATTTCTAGTAGAGTCCGGTATCAGTGGTGGCCGAAATGGAGTTGAAGAGGAATAAAGCTTGCGCACCTGTGAGAAACTCCTCGCTGCAAATACAGTTAGCCGTGATTCTGAGAACATGTTTCAAGCCCTCAAGTTGGACCACTTACAAGCTCAGTGTGATATAACCATCGCGGTCCTCGTCATACTTCTTGAACACATCCGTCATCCTCTTCAGACTAATGCACGCTTGCACAAATAGATCGAAGCTCAGTGCATTGCGACCATCACGGTCGTAGGTGCGGTACAGAAGGGCGACAAATTGCTGGGAAAGGCGGTATCCAAAGGCAATGAGGGCCTCATTAAACTCGGCGTAGGATATGCTACCGCTGTGATCTTGATCAAAACGGTCGAAGAGGCTGCGCCAGGCAGAGAGGAAGCCCCATAGTCCACTGTGAGCGACGTTTTAGCTTTAAATCCTGATAAGAAAGAAAAGGGGCCAAGAGCAAGTACCAGAATTCATCAAAGTTGACAGATCCAGATCTGTTGGTGTCGAACATCCGAATCATCATACGGACAGTGTGTGGGTCGAAAGGTGTCCAATCTCCGTTGACGAGCGCAGTCCGCAGTTCAGCTTCTGTGAGCTCACCACTCTCTGCCGCATCCGTTAGCATGGTACATGGCCAAGCTCGTGGCTACAACATACTGTCCTTGTCGACGGCGCCGAACAATCTCCAGAGTGCCTCGCGGTCATTCGCATCCCTTGGCGGCGCAGGCGTGGGCGGCGGCCTCGACTGTTGCGCCAACTGCGGCCTCCCATGATATCCCTGTGGTGGTGGTCCATGGCCATAGTTGGCGGGTGGAGGCGACCCGACTGCCATTCTGTTGTCCTGTCTCGAGTCGTACCGGCTGTCGTAGCGCGTGTCGCTGTATGCGCCTGGTGGGGGTCTGCTATCATATCCACCACCTCCTGCGCCGCGTCCCCCACCGCCGCCATAGCGCTCATCTGGACGGGTGTCGTATCTCTGGCCGCTGGGAACGGGCGGGGGAGGTTTGTTGTAGTCCGGACGCGCTGAACTTGTGCGCGGTGGGCGTGCGGCTGCAGGTGCGTTTTGCGACATCATGGCAGCAGCCTGGTCTACGTCAGTCTTGCATGCGCGTCGACAATGTTTGAAAGCTATACCTGCTCAGGCTCTGCATGCATAGGCAGCCTGTCCGGGTTGAAGCCTTTGTTGTACGCCATGATGGGATCAAATTGTCGAGTGTTTGTGAGGTGGAAAGCGAATGTCGCAACGTGTCGGGGCTGATGATATATGAATGTGACACCAAGCTTCAGCTTCTCGGCGAGCGAAGGCAATCGTCAGGCGCGCAACTGACTCCAAAACACAGGGAGATGCTAGTAGCTTACGGCACAAAGTCTTTATGATCAGCCGAGTAATATGCGGCTCCAACGATCAAAGCCCAACTTCGCCCTTCACAGCCCGGTTGCGGCTGATAGCAACGGCGAGCCCTTGGGCAAGGCGTATGCGCAGCGGGGCAGTCGGCTTGGCCCTATGACGCAGTAGGTCGTGCCCGGTCAACATCACACGGAATGTCTACCGCGATACGAATACGGGCAAATCAGTACGCAGCTTGTGCAAAATTTAAGCCTGCCCTTCCTGCCAACGTTTCGCTTCCCGAAGGTTCGGCCAGTTGCTGTCGAGTTTGCACGTCAATCACTCGCTGCAATGTCGAGTCACGCAGAGCTTGTATAATAGGGTACCCTTGGTTGTTTATGTGGACTAAGCCAAGCCGTTTATTGGTATTATTTACAAAGAAGTACATATCTTGACTCTGATCGTTCGTCATGCCATAACCGGTATGCCCAACAAGGTCCATGTGCAACCATCAAATTGTGAAAAGAGACAAAATAGTAGATGACAACAACGACAATCATCGTGGGTATCCAACGCCCCTGCACCCAAATTCTACAAAGCGTTCAAACAAAATAGCAAAAGTATAGTATGCATCGAGCATCGCTTGTTGGTCCTCAAGAAGTAAAGACCGGAATAGAAGCACCAAGTATGGGGTACAAATACAGCATAGCCGTGGAAACAAGCCATGCGAGAAAGAATGTCGCTTCAAACAACTTTTCAAACTCCGCTGCACTGCTCAGGTTTTGACCCGCTTTTGGTTGCCGTCATCCGAGCCCTGATCAGACGTCTTGCGCTTGCGCTCCGCCGAATCGTCACGGGCGAAGCTGGGTCCATTCGGGGCTACGGGTGTCTGGAAAGTCAAAGGACTCGGCAGCATGTTGGAGTCGCGACCAAAACCCCACTCGGGGTAAAAGCTCGAGGGCGAGGGAAGCAGGCCATTCTCCACAAAGCGGCTGGGAAGTGCTGAGATTGGCGTCTCCATGTCGTTGCGGCTACCGTATGAGTTACTGTTAGATGGCGGCGGCGGACGAGCAAAGGGGTTGGGCGGGCCAGTTGCACCTGCACTGAGCAGCGAGTTCGCACTCGGGGACGGAGGAGGCAGGACTACGCCAGAGGAGTGCGACGCATCAGTGCTTCGTCCTGGGGTCGCACCAGTTGTGCCAGAGTCCTTTGGAGACGAGTCGGCCGTGGCACTTCCAGCATCCGAGTGTTCGCTCGGGATCTGCACCCTCAATCTTGGCTTGCTTTCACCACCCATGCGCAGACTGTTTGTTCGTGACGGAGGAGGGATCGTGGGCATTGAGGATGTAGACTGCGTTCGCTGCGGTGGTTGCTGAACAGGTAGCTGTGAAGGCTGTGCTTGAGGTTTTGGTTCCCCGTTCGGCTGCAGTCGTGACATGGCGGCTACATCAATTGATTGCGCACGGTTCTCTTGCTTGATATACGGCGCTTCGCTGCGAGACAGGTTTGAATTGCTACTGCTACCCCAATGCGCAGCGAGCATGGACTGGCTGTCGTCGATTGGTGTGAAGATGCTGTGTCTGGCGGACGCGTGTAGTGGCTTCGGCTGGGGGAGAGGGGGACTCTGAAAATCGTTCTGTTGCGTGGGGGACGGGACGGTAATCGTAGGCTGTTGCAGGAGTTCTTGCTGCGGCTGAGAGGCTTGCGGAGGTGGAGGGGGCGGGGACAGTCGCTGTTGCTGCTGTTGCTGCTGTTGCTGCTGTTGCTGCTGCTGCTGTTGTTGCTGCACCTGTTGCTGTGCCTGCTGTTGTGCCTGTGCCTGTGCCTGTGCTTGCTGTTCTTGTTGATGCTGGTGTTGCACTTGCTGCTGAAGATGGTGCTGCTGCTGCTGCTGCTGTTGCTGCTGTTGTTGCTGGAAAGTAGGCGGCATTGACTGCCGACGTTGCTGCTCTTGTTGCATGTACTGCACTTGTGGATGCGTAGGCATGGGATGTGTAAATTGGTACTGTGCGGCGGGTGGAGTAGGCTGAGGCTTGGGGGCCATTTGCTGGGCAGTTTGCGGGTTGTAGAAAGGCGGGTTCGGCATGTAGGCATAGCTGTTGGGCGGTGGAGGGGCTTGCGAAGGGTATGGCTGGGGCGGCGCGAGGTTCGAGCTCGGTCTGCGAATGTGGCCTACTCTCGAGTTGGGTCGCGATAGGTGGTGAGGAGGCTGGGGAGAAGGACCTCGCTGTTGGAAGGGGACGCCGTTGCCGATTGGCGGAGACATTGATGGCGCTCCTTGTCTCATGTGCTGGAACTGCGGGTGCTGCATGTGATGGGGCATCATCGAGTGCTCGGGCGGGGTGTGCGAGTCTCGGGGAAGGGCGCCCTCTTCATCGTCGTCGTCGTCATCGTCGCCATCTTTCTTGCCCATAAAGTCCTCTGGGCCCTTGTGCTCGTGTGCGCCGCCATACTGCGTGACCTGTCAGTGTCATGTACTTTAGCGCAACTCTCTGTCCAGGGTAGCAGGGGATGCATACGTATTGGTACCGGCCAATGGTCTCGTTGATGTCGCCCGAAGAGAATTCATAGAGCTTCTTGTTGTGGCCGAAGATGATGACGGCGACGTCTACCGAGCAAAGCACAGAGAGCTCGTGCGCCTTCTTGAAGAGACCGCCTTTGCGCTTGAGGAAGGTTCTATGGCGTGTTAGTGGCTGATCGCAATGTGTCTGGGGCAGCTGGCTTACACGGAGCGGTTCCGGTCGTCCTTGATGGCCTTGATCTCGATCTTTCTGCGACCCATGGTAGATGGCGATGCTAGACGTCAAAGCGCATGGAGCGACGGTGATGTCTCGAGGAACTGAAGAAGACAGTACTAGCTTGCGCGGCCGAGGCGTGATCACGAAGACGCTGAGCGTTTCAGCGCTTGCAGCAGGAAGAGGCGGGCGGCGAAAGTCGGCGCGGTGGATGGGCAATTCTTTTTCGCGACTCCAGGGCTATATGGCTGTGATGCGCGACACAAAGGTCGGTTGCTGCTCTCACAGTTTCTGTGAGGCTCTGAACGTGATGTGCAGAGGAAACCATGATGGAGTGGGTGGGCGCCCCTATATTTAGAAATCTGGCGTCTGCAAAGCCCAGGCCATCCGATCGCTAATATGCCCGGTTACGGGTTATTTGCTGGGTTTGGGTCCTGGTGCCACGTCCACTGTCCCCTTGCAATTGGGTGTGCAATCTGTCTGTCAATCATCACAGGCCTGCCTAACTTCATCGAGGCTGTTTACTCCACTTGCAACGCCCAGCTGAGTTATTTTAAGGACATATCAGAGCTGGGGTCCAGCGGCCTCACACAGGCAGAGCAGACCCTTGATGCGGTACAGTATGAGAATGAGACGACCAGGTATTTTACCGGCATCGCGCTACTCACGACCTCTTCGCGGCAGTCCCTGTTGACTGCAGAGAGTACTCTCAGATTAGCAAGACCATCTTACCGGCTCTGCAGCATTCAGACGGGGGTCGCTCGTTATTCTTGCATGCCATGTCTAGCGGGAACACATATCGGCGCTTGCAGACGTGATGACGAAAGTCATGGCCCTGGGGTCGACTGAAGGCGGAGGCATTCGGTGCTCCCTGTGTGTGCGGCATTGCACTTGCCGGTGCGCCATTTGCACCCTTTCCCGAGCAATGTTTTGCTAGCGACACATGGCGGAGCATTCGGTCAATCATTTCTCTCAAACCTTAGCTTCTTTTACTGTAAAGGCAGTCCCTGTGTGAAGCTGTGGCCTGCCAACCAGTCCTTCGCTGTCTGCAATCGCAGTCATCCATCATGGATAGCCGTCGAGAACGCCCCGCTTCCCCACCGGATGCGGGACGGCTCAAAGGTGTCCATCTTCACAGTCCCCGTCCATCTGTATGCAGTCATGTCCCCGGCAGACGATCCAAGAACATCCAAACAGATTGTTTCCAGTATCTACTTCCATGTCCTAAGGTTGAAGTTGGAATAAAACTCGCAGCACGCGGTTCCTAGCGCGACTACATCCCATGTCCGAAACGCGGTATTTTTAGAAGGCCATGCCGCAAACCCACATCTACCACTGGCATGACGCACCTGCTACTGCACCTGATTGACTGATCGACCCAGCTTACCTCGACACACACGACCAACACTCCAGAATGTTACACATTGCTAAGCTGCTGTTCGTCTATTCTTTCCACTCGCATCATTGTTTCTTCCCGTTCTCATAATCCCACCCACCTAGCCGCCAGCTCCATATGTTCTCCCCACTTCACATTAGCTCGTGCTTCCCCATACGTACATTTCACGGCCGGGATGCTAGTGTATGTGATTGTTGACTTCACCTGCTGAAGCGAATGCGCCGCACCGAGCTGTCGGTTCTGTCTCTCCACCACCAATCTTCACCATTCTAATTGAAGTATCACAGATACCGGCATCACTCAGCAACGCGTCACCCCATCAAAGAAAGGTGACGTTCACCGGAAAATAGGCGGCCCGGCGCGTCTAACTCTCTATCAGATGCAGGTACACGTTCGGCTGTTATTCTTAGTCTCACACGCACACCACCCGACAGCCATTCCTTTGTTTCTGGCCAGTACCTCGTATGTACCCTCCCAGAGGCCTGGCTGATGCAGGTACACAGATCTTGTGTTATTTTGGGCCGCACGCTGACCCTCGTGCTTCCAATTTCTCCAACCGCCATGGCCTGTGGCTCCAATCCGAAACCTGTGCCTCGCTGAAGAACGCGTGGTGAATGCAGGTACCCTGCTAGGACGTTATTCTTGGGCGATACCTCAGAACGACGTATGCCTACACGACCTTCATGATAGCCTACCGAATGCGATCTCCTGAGCATGTCAAGGAGGTCTTCATCTC